ACGTACTGCGCGGCGCCGCCGGCGCTCAGCGCGTTGTTGCTGCCGCCGAGCGGCGACGACGCCGAATCCGAGCGCTCGGGGTAGCTCAGGGAGGCCGAGCGGTTCAGGCCGCTGGCGTGGGACGGCGAACGGATCTCTGCGGGGGATTGCGGGGGTCGGTTCTCGTTTTTTGGGGTTGGTTCTCTTTTTTTTGGGAATTTTTGGGGTTGGTTCTCCTTTTTTGGGAAGGTTTTTGGGGTTGGTTCTCGTTTTTTGGGAATTTTTGGGGTCTGTTCTCCTTTTTTGGGAATTTTTGGGGTTGGTTCTCGTTTTTTGGGAATTTTTGGGGTTGGTTCTCCTTTTTTGGAAGGTTTTTGGGGTTGTTTCTCCTTTTTTGGAAGGTTTTTAGGGTTGGTTTGCCTTTTTTGGGAATTTTTGTGGTTGTTTCTCTTTTTTTGGGAATTTTTGGGGTTGTTTCTCCTTATTGGGAAGGTTTTTGGGGCTGTTCTCATTTTGGGAATTTTTGGGGTTGGTTCTCCTTTTCGGGAAGGTTTTTGGGGCTGTTCTCCCTTTTTGGAAGGTTTTTGGGGTTGGTTCTCCTTTTCTGGGAATTTTTGGGGTTGGTTCTCCTTTTTTGGGAATTTTTGGGGTTGGTTTGCCTTTTTTGGGAAGGTTTTTGGGGTCGTTTCTCTTTTTTTTGGGAATTTTTGGGGTTGGTTCTCCTTTTTTGGAACTTTTTTGGGGTTGGTTCTCGTTTTGGGAAGGTTTTTGGGGTTGTTCTCATTTTTGGAAGGTTTTTGGGGTTGTTTCTCTTTTTTGGGAAGGTTTTTGGGGTTGGTTCTCTTTTTTTGGGGAATTTTTGGGGTTGGTTCGCCTTTTTTGGGAATTTTTGGGGTTGTTTCTCCTTTTTTGGGAATTTTTGGGGTTGTTTCTCCTTTTTTGGAAGGTTTTTGGGGTTGTTTCTCCTTTTTTGGAAGGTTTTTGGGGTTGGTTCTCGTTTTGGGAAGGTTTTTGGGGTTGTTTCTCCTTTTTTGGGAATTTTTGGGGTTGGTTTGCCTTTTTTGGGAATTTTTGGGGTTGTTTCTCCTTTTTTGGAAGGTTTTTGGGGCTGTTTCTCTTTTTTTGGAAGGTTTTTGGGGTTGGTTCTTGTTTTGGGAAGGTTTTTGGGGTTGTTTCTCCTTTTGGGAAGTTTTGGGGTTGTTTCTCTTTTTTTTGGGAATTTTTGGGGTTGGTTCTCCTTTTTTGGAACGTTTTTTGGGGTTGGTTCTCGTTTTGGGAATTTTTGGGGTCGGTTCTCCTTTTTTGGGAAGGTTTTTGGGGCTGTTCTCGTTTTTTGGAAATTTTTGGGGTTGTTTCTCCTTTTTTTGGGAATTTTTGGGGTTGGTTTGCCTTTTTTGGAACGTTTTTTGGGGTTGTTTCTCCTTTTTTTGGGGAATTTTTGGGGTTGGTTCTCTTTTTTTGGGAAGGTTTTTGGGGTTGTTTGTTCTTGGATTTCGGGAGTTCAGGGGTTGAGTCGGGGGAGGTTGATGATTGTGGGGCTGTGGGGGTTGTTTGGGGGGTGATGGAGGGAGGGGGTGTTTGGGGGTTCTCTTGGGATTATTTTGGGATTTTGGGATTCTCTTGGGATTTTGGGATTCTCTTGGGATTCTGGGGTTCCCTTGGGTTTTTGGGATTCTCTCAGGATTTTGGGATTCCCTCTGGACTCTGGGATTCCCTGGGGTTTCTGGGATTCCCTCTGGACTCTGGGCTGTCCCCGGATCACCGATGGGATTCGGAACCCCCAGACCCTCCCGTGTTTATGGGATTCCCTGGGGTTTCTGGGATTCCCTGGGGTTTTTGGGATTCCCTCGGGACTCTGGGATTCCCTTGGGATTCTGGGATTCCCTCGGGTTTCTGGGATTCCCTGGGGTTTCTGGGATTCCCTCTGGACTCTGGGATTCCCCGGCTGTCCCCGGAACACCGATGGGATTCAGAACCCCTGGACCCTCCTGTGTTTATGGGATTCCCTGGGGTTTCTGGGATTCCCTTGGGATTCTGGGATTCCCTTGGGATTCTGGGATTCCCTGGGGTTTTTGGGATTCCCTCAGGACTCTGGAATTCCCTCAGGATTCTGGAATTCCCTTGGGATTCTGGAATTCCCTGGGGTTTCTGGGATTCCCTCAGGACTCTGGAATTCCCTCAGGATTCTGGGATTCCCTGGGGTTTCTGGGATTCCCTGGGGTTTCTGGAATTCCCTCTGGACTCTGGGCTGTCCCCGGATCACCGATGGGATTCCCAACCCCCCGGACCCTCCCTCTCCGTGTGCGGGCGGCTCCCGCGGGGTCCCGGGGCGGCTCCGGGGGCGCTCACCGGATCCCGGCGGGGGGCTCAGAGCCATCACCCCGTAGTAGGAGAAGGCTCCCGCCTCGAACTTCATGCACTCCTTGCCAGCCTCCACCTCCACCTTGCCCTGCCGGGAGAACCCAGATGGAGCCCGAGCCCGCGGGGATCAGATCCCCGCACGCCACGGGGATGGGATCCTGTGGGGATCCCCGGCTCCCGATCCCATGGGGATCAGATCCCCGCACCCCACGGGGATGGGATCCTGTCGGGATCCCCGGCTCCTGATCCCACGGGGATGGGATCCTGTGGGGATCCCCAGCCCCAGATCCCTCAGGGATGCGATCCCAGCAGGATCCCTGGCCCCAGATCCCTCAGGGATGCGATCCCAGCAGGATCCCCAGCCCCAGATCCCTCTGGGACGTGATCCCATTGGATCCCCGGCCCCAGATCCCTCAAGGATGCGATCCTGTGGGGATCCCCAGCCCCAGATCCCTCAGGGACGTGATCCCGTGGGGATCTCCAGGCCCAGATTCCCCAGGAATGCGATCCCAGCAGGATCCTTGGCTCTGGATTGAGCAAGGATCAGATCCCAGCGGGATCCCTGGCCCCAGATCCCTCAGGGATGCAATCCCAGCAGGATCTCCAGCCCCAGATCCCAGCAGGATCCCCGGCCCCAGATCCCAGCAGGATCCCCGGCCCCAGATCCCGTGGGGATCCCCGGCCCCAGACCCCGTGGGGATCCGCAGCCCCAGATCCCGTGGGGATCCCCAGATCCTGCGGGGATCCCCGGCCCCAGATCCCGCAGGGATCCCCAGATCCCGTGGGGATCCACAGCCCCAGATCCCGTGGGGATCCCCAGATCCTGCGGGGATCCCCGGCCCCAGATCCCGTGGGGATCCCCAGACCCCGTGGGGATCCCCGGCCCCAGACCCCGCGGGGATCCCCAGATCCCAGCAGGATCCCCGGCCCCAGATCCCGTGGGGATCCCCAGATCCCGTGGGGATCCCCAGCCCCAGATCCCGTGGGGATCCCCAGATCCCAGCAGGATCCCCAGCCCCAGACCCGGCAGGGATCCCCAGATCCCAGCAGGATCCCCGGCCCCAGA